GTGTCCGAATGATTCCTTTTGCGAGAGGGTTTGTTTAGCGGCCACTTGCGGTACAGTTGAGCGCAGATGACTGACTTGGCATGCCACTTATACTGTGGATGTTACTGTGTAAATGTTATTCCAGCCTCGAAACTGTTAAGAGCTGTTCGTGTTTGCGCCCCCCCCCCCCGCCGCCCGTCGGAAACGAAGGAGACCGTGCAAAGCAAAACCGGTTGAGCAGATACACAAACTACCTAAACACGCCGTGCATAACCCGACTGAGTTCTCAAACACAAGTGTGTTCAATAACGTGCCGTGCGTCAATAATGAATTGCCAAACAAAGTGTGTTAATTCTACATTCGCCTATTGTTTCAAGATTGCCTTGTGTCTGGTAATGTTTGAAAAAAAAAGAACTGACGATGAAGGGTGTTAGTGTTACGGAGTTAATGTTATTTATGTCGTGATAGCAACTGTAAATAAGCCATCCGGAGCGTACTGAAAAGGACTCTACAAGTCTCAGAGCATGTGTATAGAAACTTTTAAGTACATAACGAGCAGCTACCAGATAAGCCTAGCAGTGCCTTTTTAGAAAGATAGAAGTTGCTAGATTGAGCAACGTGATTTTGCTACTGTATTGTACATAATGCTCTTGGACAACTCCAATTAGCAGGGTTGGCTACGTACGGTGCGAAAGAAGTTCAACATACATTGGTAAATGCAGTAGGAAGCTTCCTTAAATTTGCATGAAACGTTTGCACACTACTGTATACTAATCGGGCTATTGCGAAAGTGCATTGCTTGGTTCATTTTGTTGTAGAGCAGGATATTTGGGACTTTAAAACAGGTCGTTGCATATATGAGAGCATAATGTACAGGAATGTCTTGTTTCCTTCATATTGAAGGACCCCACTCATTTCCATTAGTGTGGTGTGCACTACACGTCACATAATAATAATAATAATAAACTTGGTTTTCATGAGTATTCACAAATACAGGAGATGCAAGGGCAAAAGGAGGGTTTCGTATTGCTGCGTTTATAGGAACGATGTTTTACTTTTTTAATTCTCACAATATATTTGGTTTCTCTTCAGCAGAGTGCTTTGCAATCATAATTTTTTTAGGATTGGTTTGCTCTCCTGTAATAACTTGATGGTGTTTTGTGCTTGAAAATTATTTAGCAATATCGATATTGAATCACCAATTGATGGTATGGGTGCGTGTGTGTGGTTTTGTTTTAGCTACTGCCAAAACAACCACCCTGGGATTTGGGAATTGTCACTATTGTATAGGATATGTAAGGGAATGTTAGCAATGGGGCAGTGACATTTGACCTAATAATTGTGGAGACCCATGCAATTGTGTTATAGCAATACCTAATGTCCATAACCTTTGAGAAATAAGCTTGAGGAAAAAAAGCAGTGGCACTACATAGGCTTTTGAAAATTATATAAATATGCTTTAAAAAAATTAAGTGCAACAAAATGGTGATGCAATTGAAATGTAATGCTATATGGCGAAACTAAACTTGACGTAGTTTTAGAAGTTATCACACATGCTTTTCCAGTTAAATTGGGTATTACATGCTTTTATAAGTTGGCAGTGGTCACAAAAGCGAAGCTGGTATAAGAGAACTGACTGGCGTTTGAAATGAATTATGTATATCGACGGCAAGCGCAGAGCCAAGTGAAGGTCCACTGAGTAAGTGCACATGCCAGAGAAATCTTCAATATTTCCTTTCTCGTGTTCTCTTGTGTAATCTAAATTTCAACTCAAACTATTTAAAGTCTAACAAATGGCTGTTGAGTAAATTTAGTGCTTGGGAGGGCATTGGTAAATGGATACTTGGCTCTCGCAGTCTGTTTGGCGTGTGCGCCTTACTTGATGCCAAAAGTGGAAACTCATGTCGGTGTCAGGTTTACATCATTTCGTATTTGAACACCCACTGCAACACCAGTGCAGATTAAGGTAATTTTGTACGGGGTAGGGGGGGAGGCTGGATTTCAATTCTAACCTGACACTTTAAAAGTTGGCTCCATGAAATCGTGCCTATCACCCTGTGCCTTTTGGGTAGACCCATCTTACATAGGCTGCCATATTACAGAAACCAAGAAAGTCATAGAATGTGGTTATTGGCTCTTGTACTATACAACCACCTCTACAATTTGTGCGTAATTTATACGTTTTCATGAGTTGTCATTTTTGCCATCCTGTACCAGATTTTTTTTTATGTTAACTGTGAAACTAGAGGGATGTAATGACTGTACACTGTGCAATAGGTTACTGATTGAGACTTTTATATTCACAAAAAAGATACTTCTGTTTGAATGTTTGTTTTTGGTTTCGTTTTCACAATAGGGTTTTCTGTGGCTGTGTTTACGTTTAATGGTTTGTTGTACAGTGATTTCAATAAAGGAAGGTGATGTTATCCTGTGCGCGTGTGTATTATGGGCTAATGAGACCTTGCTTTTTCGATTTAACGACTTCCATGCATCGACTTACATGGGAATGTTTAAGATTTTTTTCATCATTATTGATTCATGGTGTCACGTGATCCCTCCAGCCACCAGAAGCCGCTCCACTTACCAGTGATCCAATTGATTCTTTAAAGCAATCGCAATGCTGAACTGTGACAATTCAATTAATTACGAGTATAACAAATCGTTACACTTCCTGCCTGTGTACAATTCTATAAATGAATTGTACTGTTTATGTAACCACATGTTACATAAACACAAGTTACATAAACAGTAGTTGCACGTGTAATCTTTAAAAAAACTAGAAGCGGTTTTGCAACTCAATTGAACGAGGACATACTTAATGTCCCAAATTTATGGCAACTTACAGCTGAAAGTTACATAAACAGTAGTTACATGTATAATTTTGCAAATCCAGAAGCAGTGTAGCAATACTTGAACAAGAACATAACGTCCCAATTTTGACAACTTGTAGCTAGCTATGTGCCTGTTATACACAGAATTTGCATTCAATAGGATTTTATCACGAGTTGAGAACACGCTGACCTACTAACGTAGTTTGTAATGGGAAGCAACAAAGCCGTGATGGCCCATCACATTTCGGTATTGGGGAGTGATCACAGTTGGGAGGATTTAGTTGGAGAAAACCTAGGTTTTGAAAAATATACCACCGTTACTCCACACCAGCCTCCCACACTTTTTCAGTGAGCCAAATCCATGGAACAGCAATTTATTATAGTACGAGTACAATAGAACCACGTATTTTACAAATAAGCGTTTAATTATGCATCATTTAACAATAATCATTATGCTCATGATACATGCAGAAGATTCCTAGTGTGCTGATATGTTTTGTTACAATATATACAGAGGTAAAGTACATACTAATGTGGCACTGTGGTTAAACCCAGTGGCTTCCAATACAATCCTGGATCAGTTTCATGATTGTACTCCGTCTTCAAGATGCCCCATAAAGTCTCTGTGTGCCTATGTGTGTGTGTCTCTCTGTGTTATCTCTCTCTGCTTATGTGTCTCCGTGTCTGTGTTTTGTCTCTCAAATTTATCAATCTTTGGAAGAACGTAAAGAACCAGGTAGGGTGTTGACTATTATGTTAGCAGACTGTGTTGTATTGCATTAGATTTAACCGTGACTTAACCGAAAGAACCAAAGAGTAATTCCTGAAGTCACGAAAGCTCTAAACCAAGTTTATGCCCCATAAACTTTTTTATTTTACGAGATAAGGCCCACTAGGCTATATAGCTCTTTTTCAGAAATGACCTGACTACACATGTTAGCTCATCAACAAAGTTGCTTATCACGTTAAAATGTATCGCAGCCAAATACTCCAAACGCATGTTTCTAAATGTGGAGAGAAAAACCGCAGGACCCGGAGAAAAAATTCACGCGACCACAGGGAGGACGTGCAAACTTTAATTATACCGGCATCGGTGTCAGAACAAACCCACGACCTCCTGTATACCACGCGAAAGAAATAACACCGCCACCATAATTCATCCCTGCCTAACCCTCCCCATTCATCTACCCCTCATCTTCTGTCGAAGTCCCCAGTCAAACTTGGCTTGATGAGAGGTCACGTATTTCCCTCTGCTGGCCCCATAGTCTGGACCTACCTTCCCCCAACTAGCCGTATTGTTGCCTTCATGTATCTTTTGCCCACCTATGATTGACTATCTTTCGTGAAAAAAAGGGAACAAACACACATTAGAGGCGTCATTACCTTTAAATATGTTGTGGTCACGGGCAGAGACACATCATGGCTAGAAAGGATGGTGGCTGATGGGACAATTGTGACGGAATTGCAGCCAAAGCACAAGACTACATCGGAAAGAGGGGATGCAGGATATGAATTGTTGTGAACGAATACATTAATATCATCCAAACCCGTCTAGAATTTAGCGAGGTTTTTTTCTATCAATAAAATACTTTTGGAAAATGTGCAAATTAGCTTAAACAAGTGGATAAATAAATTAAGTAGTGCGGTGCGAAATTAACGACGTGGGCGAATTAAGTGATTAATTAAATATCCGAACAATTAGACGAAATGAGCGCATGAACAAATGCAAAATAAACGTATGGAGTTTAACAACAAAAACCGTGAATAGATGCACAAATAAGTGAACGAAACACGCGTGAATTATTGAATGAAAAGGGCGAAAAATATGAATGAAATAACACTGTAACAAAAAAATGTTGTTCCTGGGTAGTAAGTGTTATTTCCTAATTGCTTATGCCTCAAAAGTACAGAAAATGTATATTATTCCCCACAAACTTTGCTTGTGTGACCAGGACGGTGATATTTTGAAATTTACCTATTTTCAATGAGAAAACGTGGTGTGCGTTTTGTGTCATTCCTTCGCATAAAGTCCTGGTCACAAAAGCCAAGTTTGTGGGAAATAACAATAGCCATTTTCTATATATATTTTTTAGGCATAAGCAATAAAAAAATAACACTTAACAACCCCAGGGAAAAAAATCGTGTTACAGAGTGAAATCACCCCCCACCACCACGTAACGCTGAATCCTCACCACCCCCCCATTGCCCTCTGCCGTTTGACTCCGCGTGACGTGAAGTTTGGCGCTAAAACGGTCCACGGACGCCTCTAAAACTCCCCAAAGCCTCCCTCTGCCTTCTCGTGTTTACCGTTTATTATTAACACTTAAACGTTCAGTCGAAGTTCACAGAGAAATAACACGCGACTGCCCGCGGCCGCGCGTTCCGGGCCGACTTTATCATCGTCAGTCCCGCGGCCGAATTAGGTCGGCGTCTTGTGCCGGGCCCTCTGCTGCCTGTCCCACGTCAACCCCCCGGGCTTGCCTGAATCTCCCGCCGCGCTTGGGGTCCCGGATCCCCGGGCCGAGCATGGAGCCGGCGGCCTGCAAAGGCCGACGTGGCGGTAGGGCGGCCGCGGCTGTCGCCAAGGAAAATATCCCCGGCTGGCAGGATGACGGGCACGCTGATGTGGTAAATGCGTTTGTATCATGGTCGTGTGAGAGCTTTGTCGATCCGCTGCTAGATGAATGCTTCCCTGATGCGTACGGGGGGTGTGTGTTACGTTGCTTTGCCATACTGAACGCTGGTCATCGCGTGTTGGTGATAGCGAGAGGGTAGGAGGTCACATTACCGGTTCAGATGTCAACTTGCCACTGATTGTTAGCCGTGGTCGGGAATCAAACTCGTGTCGATATTGCGCGGCGTGCACACCACCACTGCCGCACTCGTGTTATAATCCCTTAAATATCCAGTTCGTTTTAAAATGCCTTGGGGTCTTCATCAAAGGTATTTTATCATAACCGCGCTGGTCTGTGCGGGGCGGTGAAAATAAAATACATTAACCAGCTTTAGCCTCATTTTCTTGGTTCTTTCGATAAAGTCACGTAGAAGGGAAATAATAAAATAATAAAAATACAACAATAAAATTATCACGACCTTTCGATTGCAACACAAGCAATCATCATCAGGTGTGAAAACCTGATTATGATGATTGCTTGTGTTGCAATCGAAACGTGAGAATTTTATTGTTTTATATTTTTATTATTTTATTGTTTCCCTTCTACGTGACTTTACCGAAATAACCAAGAATATAAATCCCTGCAGTCACGGAAGCTTTAAATCAAAGCTTTAGCCTCGTTCCTGTGATGTCTATGGGACATTTCTATTGCTAAAGATAAGCTTTACTGATCTATTATTTTGAGGACCTCTGTACGTTTTCATCTTAAGATAACCTTACCGCTACAGCAGCGTGTTTTTTAAACAATGCATTAGTTTGTTATCGCTATACATCACTCGAACATCAAAAAAAATGCTTCGGTTATCATTGTCTCAATTAGGTGTCACCTATTACAAGTGCAGCATGCTTTACAGTCCTAATAGAGTTCACTTTTGGTAATGATTAGGGTATAAGACACGTCACGATAGTTGCATTTTAATACTTGTGCAGGATTTTGTGAAGGAAGGATCAGCATTGAGGATCGAAGCGAATGGCCTTGCTGAGACCGAGTCACCGTCCAGCCCTACACCAGACCTTGAATGCGACGATCAACCCAACCCTGAACAATGTCTCACAACTTACCAGGTCGTGCGAATGGGAAGGAGTGAGTTGTGCAACCATCTGACTCGACTGTCACTTGACACCAGGTGTGTGCTATTTATGTCATAATGATTTTTCCTCTTACCATTGTTTAATAACTACCATATGAACACATCACCTGCCCGCGTGTAATCCCACTCAAAGCGAATTGAAGAGTTCAGTGGAGTCATTGTTTTAATTTGCGAGCCATTTGCCTGAGATGATTATTTATACCGATGTCATCATACCTGATTACATGAATGTAAATTTGTCTTTTAAAAATATGCCTCAATTGCATCATTCCAAAAGTCTATGTCAAATTTGGCAGATTTGTTTTCTTAAAATGCTGATGACGCATGAAATAGTGTTGAATTTTAAAGTTCATTCACTCAGTTTTCAAGAAACTATGAGTCATTATTTAGGTAGTTTGCAAGTGTTGTTTGGAAAAAAAATAGATATATCCTGACTGCATACATTTTTGTTTAAAAGTTGATTTCCTATGTGCATCCTTGTTTCAAGATGTTTACCTCATTTACTGTACTTTTTGTTTATCCCAAGTCTACCCTTGAAATAGCTCATTTTGTTTTTTATGGGCTTTTAGCTGGTTATAAATACATTTATTTTTCTGCAGCGTGAAAGTTGGCTCCAAATGAGATTGCTAATGTGGCGTCTGTACTTTTGGCTTTGCTCTTGTGGTCTAATCCAGTGGGACCAAGGAAGTGCTACGGCAAAGGCTGAAGAGCTACTGTCAACTTGAGCACCGCAGGAAAGGTTCAGAGGACAGGTCTGCATGCAGCGAGCGGCCTGCGATTGTGAGGAGCATACTACACGCGAGCAAATTGGAGCCGTGTGCCTTCAACTACATCTGTGTGATCGACTTCGAGGCCACTTGCCAGGAGCACAACCCTCGGGACTTCCCACATGAAATAATCGAGTTCCCTGTGGTTCTGCTTAATACCAGCACTCTGCAGATTGTACGTCCTTTTCATTGTTTTTGTATACATTTGCTCTTTTCACCCAGTTCATGTCTTGTCATGTTAGTCCCATGACTCATAACAGGTTAATGTGTCATTGCATTTTCCACAGCTATTCTACATTTATCTGTATTCTTAGCTGGTCTTATATAGGTTTCAGTAGAACAACCAGTCCATTCTACACTTGGTTATCTGGTTATTCAGCAGTCTTATATTTCTCATAATATGCCTTGCAGGATGGTGCTCATTAGTCCTGCAGCTAAACTGATGTGTGGATACCAATTCAGTTTTATAGATTTAATGATCAGAAGTCGGCTTTGATGTTTTCCAATTGTCATTTGTCTTATGTGGACGTAGTGACTTTCTGAAAAATCACAACTCCATTTCTGGGATTTTAATTTCATAGTTTCTGTAAACATACAGGGCTCACATCTGTATAGGGACAATTATAGAACTAGTGTTCTTATAATTTGTACCTTCGTGGATATTATGATGTTCATGTGTTCCATATAGTTTCCAAATTGGATAATACTAGCACTGCCCTCACACTTGCAAGGGATACATGTCCGGGGAGAAGAGTGGGGGTGAGTATTGACGTCAGCATGTACGGACCCAGCTCAACACTGTGATGCAGGTGATGTCATCACGCTGATGTGCATTGTTACATCACTACCATGGACATGCCTGCCCAAGCGCCAACCAGAAGTAATAGTTATGAGTATGATAAGATGGCTGTTGCCTTTGCGATGCTTGACTCCAGTGTTTCTAGAAATGTTCTATAATTTGTAATGGCTTGTCCAAGGTAGGTATATAATTTAACTTCATCGAGTTGACCTCTGCAGATGTGAAGTCCTTGATAATGAAATAGAGTTGCTCTATCCACACAAAGGGCACACCATTTATATACTTTATAAACATTGTCACCTGGCTATCACGTTGTTTTATTCTTAGAGCTAGAATAAGCAAAAAAGCAATTGTTCAAATATATTTGTGTACAGTTATTAGATAACCAGGTTAAGACCAACTTGCTGCACTTGAAACCGGTTTCAAGTGCAGCAAGTGACTGAAATGTAGATTCACGCCCAGGATGTAGAAATGCTGGCTAAGTGCCCCTGACCACAGAGCCAACTAGCCACCTCAAGTCGCTGGTTATTTAGTCGGCAGTGTTTAGTAAAAGATCGTGTGAGAAATATTTTAATTATAGCAAATTATTATTTCTGATCATGTTGTTAAGATCTGTTTTGTGCACTTTCTTAGGAGGATACATTTCAAGAGTACGTGAAGCCATTTCTGAATCCCACACTCTCAAATTTCTGCACTTCCCTAACGGGGATAACGCAGGTAAACTACATTAATTAAATTTTGATTTAAAGCTTTCGAGACTGCAGGGATTCATATTATTGGTTCTTTCGGTAAAGTCACATAGAACGGAAACAAAATAATAAAAAATCACAACTCCATTGCTGGGATTTTAATTTCATATTTTCTGTAAACATCAAGGTCTCACATCTGTATAGGGACAATTATAGAACTAGTGTTCTTATAATGTGTACCTTCGTGGATATTATAATGTTCATGTGTTCCATATAGTTTCCAAATTGGATAATACTAGCACTGCCCTCACACTTGCAAGGGATACATGTCCAGGGAGAAGAGTGGGGGTGAGTCTAAACGTCAGCATAGTTTTCAAATTTTCTTGTTGTGGTTTTCACACCTGATGATGACTGCTTGTGTTGCAGTCGAAACGTCGTGAGAATTTGATTGTTTTATATTTTTATTGTTTCCCTTCTACGTGACTTTACCGAAAGTACTAAGAATACAATAATTAAATTAAGTTATTTGCATCTGATGTATTTCTGTAATCATATCTCTTTTACGAAAATAAATCAGCATTATATTATTTTACTACATTATGAAAAACACATTCTAAACGCTTTGCAATTCTGTGGGTTTAAATAAATGTGAGGGTATCGTGTGTGTGTGTGCGTGCGTGTAACCTAGGAAACTGTGGACGCTGCCGACTATTTCCCTGAAGTAATCGACAGAGTTGTAAATTGGATGAGGCAGAAGGGTCTTGGAACAACCTACACTTACGCGATTCTTACCGATGGGTAAGGGCTGTTTGTGAGCTAAGCCAGACATACAGATGTTGACATTTATTTACAAGACATACACAGCTCATGTATAGTAATGTTTTACGGGCAAATTCATAATGTGACCCCGTTGTATTTTGTAAACCATAAATTATATTGTGGATTTGCAAATGATATCACTTTATGCATCATTGTGTTGTCAGGTCCTGGGATATGGCACGGTTTTTAAACATCCAGTGCCAACTCAGCCAGCTGCCATACCCACGCTTTGCAAAGAAGTGGATAAACGTTCGCAAAACCTTTTGCTACTTCTTTAAGGTGAGGGTCTAAAATATTGCCCACGTGCTTATATTTATACAACACAATTGCAACAATCGTATAGGTTACTTAGTGAGTGCCACACGCACTAAGCTTAAATTACTAGTCCTCTCGAGTTTTTCTGACCTTCACGTTTTAGCACGCCCAGGGGGAGTTAACTGTAGTTTTAGGCAGAGGGTCAGGCGCCATGCATCAAAAGCTTTTCAAACGACGCTGACGCAAGACGCAGAAATAGACTTGGCCTTTGCAGGCTTCAGCTCGATCACTCGGATATAATCCCCGTGGCCAAGTGCAGAGCTGCGTGTCTCCATAGGAGTGATGATTTCAGCTCATCAGCTGGCACTCACTTCATCTCCAGCAGCTTAACCTTTATGTAGAACATTTCACGGCAGCTGTGATTTATTGAACGCACAGGTTAATGGTGTGGCCTGATTTTCTTGAGTTGATATCTCCATTGTGTATTTTGATTTGGTCTGTATTTGATTTCATTTATTTTATTTTACAATTTTTACACAGCATGGTAACGTGCTGCGTGAAGTTTTTATTATTATACAATAGTTGTGCTTTATCAATTTAGAGCCCCCCCCCCCCCCCCGACGCTTGTGCAGGTTGTGGAACTTATGTGACCTGTGACCATACTTCACAGGCTGCTCAGTGCAGGTTGTTGTAGGCAGGGAGCATAGAAATACAATCCAATGTGTTTTGCTGCACTGCCCTCTGCTGTCCGCAACATATTTCCGCAGCCTTATTACAACCTGTTTGTGCATGGCAGTCCAAGTATCTCGGCATAAAGGCCGCTTGGCTTCTGAAATCTGATGGATTAGGCACAGTCCGAATTATTTGGTCATTGTCCAAATGCTGAAATGTGCTCCCTTTAAATGTATAACCTTACAATAGGTGCGTGTGTGTGTGTGTGTGTATTTTTCCATCATATTGTATTGGAAAATAACTCGCAGGGGTGCACCGAAAGGATATTAAGTATCGCGTTGTCATTCCAGAACCTGTCCGCTTTGGAATGCATATTTGCATTAGTGTAGTATCTCACCGATGCATTGTCTGCCGTGCCAAACGTGCTGAAATAGGGCACGTCGCCGCATTGAAAGCTCCCTGACAGAGTGGATGTTTGGTCTCTGGAATCGCAGTGACCGCCGTTCCAATTAGACGTGACATTAGGCTGGCACCAAATAATTAATTTTACTCGCATGACATTTAAGGTTATTAAGTGGTCTAATGACGTCAAACATTGTTACGTGCTTTTCAAGACATCAAGATCGGTCATGATGAACTTTGTTTATTGCCAGAAGCCCTGCTTGCAAGCAACAAGCTATGGCTGCATGGTGTGTAATCTGAATTCGGAGTTTGCACCAACTATTGGTCAAAGACATTTGCCCAGCGAATGAATGGATTCTTGGTTGTTTTTGCTAACTTAATTTGAAGTTTCCCAACTGAAGTCACAGTGCCTCCATGGTGTCAAACTAGGTCTAATTAGATCATTTTCATTATTCTTTAGTGGTAGCTGTATATGTTTCTCCATTGAAATTATTCCTGGTGGCGAAAGAGAATGTTTATTCAACAGTAACTCAATCAAAAATTATAAACAATCTACCGAGCGTCGTGAGACATCAGAAGGGTTAATCAGAAATGAAAGTTAACACCAACCCACTTGAGAGTCACTGCCCCTGTTTTTATACAATATTTATTTCATGTTCACCATGCTAATATATTTAAAGTTCCTGCATGAAATGCAGTAACATTTCTATGACCTTAATTAATTTCATGTCACTTTTGCAATACAGACATCAACATGGAACTTTTCCTGATAAAGGCTTTACCCTGAAATGCCTATTTCCCCATAAAGTTATTTCCAATGGAGAATTAATAAACGTCTATTTTTAGCCTGTCAATAAACACTGCTTTGGTATCTAGATACTATGTCTCTATGACTTTGGAAATAATTTAATCATTACCATGTGCTGGATGCTATAGTTTTCTCCATGTTATACACAAGTGCAACTAGAAGAGACGCTTGTGATTTATGTACAAAAGCATGCAGATGCGGATTAATTCATGGAAGGATATGGTAAGCCGCTTTGTAATTTTGAGTAGAGAGTGACCAAGAACACTTACGTACAGTGAGGGAAAAAAGTATTTGATCCCCTGCTGATTTTGTACGTTTGCCCACTGACAAAGAAATGATCAGTCTATAATTTTAATGGTAGGTTTATTTGAACAGTGAGAGAGTAACAACAAAAAAATCCAGAAAAACGCATGTCACAAATGTTATAAAGTGATTTGCATTTTAATGAGGGAAATAAGTATTTGACCCCCTCTCAATCAGAAAGATTTCTCGCTCCCAGGTGTCTTTTATACAGGTAACGAGCTGAGATTAGGAGCACACTCTTAAAGGGAGTGGTGAGAACAGTTAGTGCGATGATTCGCAAATGGAAGAAACACAAAAGAACTGTCAATCTCCCTCGGCCTGGGGCTCCATGCAAGATCTCACCTCGTGGAGTTGCAATGATCATGAGAACGGTGAGGAATCAGCCCAGAACGACACGGAAGGATCCTGTCAATGATCTCAAGGCAGCTAGGACCATAGTCACCAAGAAAACAATTGGTAACACACTACGCCGTGAAGGACTGAAATCCTGCAGTGCTCGCAAGGTCCCCCTGCTCAAGAAAGCACATATACATGCCCGTCTGAAGTTTGCCAATGAACATCTGAATGATTCAGAGGACAACTGGGTGAAAGTGTTATGGTCAGATGAGACCAAAATGAAGCTCTTTGGCATCAACTCAACTCGCCGTGTTTGGAGGAGGAGGAGGAATGCTGCCTATGACCCCAAGAACACCATCCCCACCGTCAACCATGGAGGTGGAAACATGCTTTGGGGGTGTTTTTCTGCTAAGGGGAAAGGACAACTTCACCGCATCAAAAGGACGATGGATGGGGCCATGTACCGTCAAATCTTGGGTGAGATCCTCCTTCCCTCAGCCAGGGCATTGAAAATGGGTCGTGGATGGGTATTCCAGCATGACAATGACCCAAAACACACAGCCAAGGCAACAAAGGAGTGGCTCAAGAAGAAGCACATTAAGGTCCTGGAGTGGCCTAGCCAGTCTCCAGACCTTAATCCCATAGAAAATCTGTGGAGGGAGCTGAAGGTTCGAGTTGCCAAACGTCAGCCTCGAAACCTTAATGACTTGGAGAAGATCTGCAAAGAGGAGTGGGACAAAATCCCTCCTGAGATGTGTGCAAACCTGGTGGCCAACTACAAGAAACGTCTCTGTGATTGCCAACAAGGGTTTTTGCCACCAAGTACTAAGTCGTGTTTTGCAGAGGGGTCAAATATTTATTTCCCTCGTAAAAATGCAAATCAATTTATAACCATTTTGACTTGCGTTTTTCTGGATTGTTTTGTTGTTATTCTGTCTCTCACTGTTCAAATAAACCTACCATTAAAATTATAGACTGATCATTTCTTTGTCAGTGGGAAAACGTACAAAATCAGCAGGGGATCAAATACTTTTTTCCCTCACTGTATAATTTTAAAAAGGAGGTTGTGATGTGTGAGTTGTGTGCTGGATGGATGAGGGCAACTTACTCAGCCAGGCATTGTAGTTGCCACCCAAAGTTTGGCAAGCTTACATATATATAGTTCTATGCATATAGAACAGCTTTTTGTGTTGTCCTTCCCCCGCACCTTTGATTAGCACAATTGGATACGTACGGTATAAAAGATGGTCAACATACAACCATGTTGAAGGCTAACACTAGATGGTGTTGACTTTGCATACCAATGTGATATATCGCAGAAGATAAAAACTATTATGGTGAGATATTGTGGCATCATATATCGCCTTCATGATGGCTTGCAGCGCTGCAATTCCTTGTTCATGACACTGCTGGCAGAAGGGCCTCCATGAGAACGAGCTCTCGAGATAGATTTCTGATGGTACGTGGTTTAGTCTTCTACAATGGCCAGATAGCTTAAAAGAGGTAAGAGTACCAGAACGTATACAAATGACCTGTAATTAAACTAAAGAATAAAAACACAAATTCTTCATCACTCCCATAAGTCAGCTATGGTAAATACGGGGAATTGAGATGAACCCCATTTTTATAGCATATTTAGAAAACACGCTTTTGGACGAGGCTAATGTTGATGGGTAATGCATACCTTCTTGCTGTCGTGAGATTTTTTTTCCTGTACTTTTTAAAATATATGCTTGCTCAGTTATCACGGGAAAAAACGAAGCTCTCGCACATGCTGGAGTGCTTGGAGCTGCAGCCCGAGGGCCGAGCTCACAGCGGCCTGGATGACTCCCGGAACATCGCGCGGGTGGCGGGCAGCCTTCTCAGCAGGGGGTGCTGTCTCCGTCTCAACGAGCGCCTCTCACAGGGCCGCGTGACGGCCGTGCGCGGGGGGGAGACCCTCGCCGCCACCCCCGTGCCCTCCACGCCGCGGCACAAGCACTCGCGCAACTCTCAGTCGCCCAGCCGTCTGAGAATCTAGCGGCGCCGTCATTCATTCCTTTTTGGGGAGAGGGAAAGTGAAACAGATGGTGCGAATGAATGTACGCTTTGACGCGAAAGTTCATGTGCTGAGTCATTGAACCATATGTCAAATACGACTAGTTAATATAAATTGCATTGGTGTGGTGTGCTGGACTGTGCTCTTTTTTTCTTCCATGTATGTATTGAAAATGTATTTGTTTTATATAATAGTAACATGCAATTTTTTTTAAGTTAAACTGACATAATTTGTTTTATTTTGTAAATGTGGACTGTAAACATGTAAAATTGGGTAAACAGTTGAACTTTGTGAATTGTACATTACAAACATGGTGGGTTGTTGCTGCATCGTCAAAACGATGCACCAGTTGTACAACTAACTGGTAAGCCACATTCAAATCAATGCTTGAGCACAGTGAAATAACCAATTAATTTAAATTTGGAGATGTTTTCATACATTCTGGACCAACATTTTATTGGCACATAATTTGACTACTAGCACTAAATGAGTCATGACGAACATAATATTTTAAACTGACAAAACAAATTATGAAAGGCATTTATAAAATTTAGCGAAAGCATCGGACCAAAACTTTGGTATTCCTTTTCAATAAAATAAATTCGCAAGATGATCATTGTCATGCTTGTGTGTACACTGTCAACTCGGGCAAACATTTTCTATTTGGCTTTATAAACACTGAGTGTTTCTGAATGCCGATAACAGTAATTGCGCTAAGTGTGAACACGTGATTTGGTGATACTGCTTTGGCAGTGGTGCACAAGCACAATAAAAAACTTGTCAATAACAGCTTTGTAAGAAAAAAAATACACGGGACGTTTCGAGATATGGCCCTTAGCACATTTATGTGCAATGAGGATGGACCATTGCCCGAAACGTTGCCTGTTGTATATTTTCCCTTGTAAGGCAGTGTTATTGTCGAATGCACTGTAAGATCTGCCTGCATTTGTAACTGGACTCATTTGACGTGCGCACACGCAAATTAGACTTGACTGCACACGTTGTGTGCGGGCAGACTGGGGAGTGTGTAAACGGTGCACTTGGCGTTGGCATTTTAGCACGGTGCACGACTGCCCGCTGCAGGAGACGGGCCGTAAAACATAATGTTTCGAGCGGCCGTGGTGGGGGGGGTCAGCGACATTGTTATGCCAGAATTCTGAAGAGCCTCTTTTTTATTCTTGTCCGCTTGAATTCTACATGCTGGGGGCACCTGCGCCTGCTTGGAATTTTAAGGCGACGCCAAGAAGATTATGGCCAGTTCACGAGTACCGTTCGTGGTGTTGAGACTCAGTGGAGAGAATGCCTCGACATCTCTGCCAAAATTGCGTTCATTCCATCGCGCTCGGCAGTACGGAGCACTCGTTATCGGCCCTGATTAGAGAGACCTCACTGCTGTTGACACCGGGGTCACACAGGGAATTCAAGCTGCCGCTGCATGTACAAACGCAATGTATGCGTACGATTTTCTGTATTCTTAAAGGAGATTGTGATGGTTGGGACACGTTTGCAGCACATTTTGCCAAGGTAGAGTGGTACCCAGGGGTTGGCAATTGGGATAAAGAACTAAAGCAGATGGTTAGAGACTCTGAGTGGCCCTTGGAGGCCGGGTTTCAATTTTACAACAGTGCTGTTATCTAGCAGAAGGGAATAAGTTATGGCATCGGTTGCATTGGCAGTGATCTTTTTACCTTGTATATTTCAGCTGAATAGCCAAGCAGCTGAGTCGATTTCTTCCTGTTTCAAAGTCGACTCCTGCAACTATCAATCGGTGATACTGCATTGGCAATTATGCACAAGCACATACAACAGAAAAATATATACCATTCAATAATACTACCTTGAAAGGAAAAAATACTGTATATATTAATTGAGATTTTGGGAACATCTATTCAGAGACCCAGTCATTATTGCGGGGAAATCAATATGCAAAATCACTGGTGTTTAACTTTATCATAAAAATCACCATCCTTTTCATTGTCATCCTCGAATCATGTATGACAATACTCTTCCAGGCTTGCATCAAATCGAATACACCGTCTCGTGCACCTATAGGGTGTCGTCGGGGCTGTAGAGAGGTGGGCTTGGTGGAGGAGCAGATAGGGGGGCAGATTGCCTTGGGCTTCAGATCCGAATGGAACACACAAAAGGCCGGGGGGGAGGGGATCTTGGAGAGGACCTCGGGGTGTCTCCGAGTCACCTGTGTTTTGCAGACCGCAACGAGAATTAAATCTTGACGCGTCAGAACATTTGGTTGACTCGAGTGTAAAACTCATTTTGTCCTGGATTCCGATTTGGAAAACATTTAAGGGGGAACTGCCCGCGGCATTGGACAGCCGAGCGGCAGTGATATCGCGTGTCCACCGAATGAAAAGGAGTGCCAAGAGTTTGTGTGACGAACGTCACCGCATCCCGCAGAACCTTCAGATGCACTTCTGCGGCCGTCTGGAACGCTTTCTCCCTTCCAATATTAGGAAGTCTCTGGAGATATGCACTTGCAAATCATCTAGATTGAAAACTCGTTCCTTTAGAACTGCCTTTTGTGTTTAGTTTGTCCTTCCCCCCCCCCCCCCAGTACCTATTATAGAGCGGTTGCTTACGTATGGTGCGAAAGAAGTTCAACATATAGACACGGGGGGGGCTCGTGGCATTTTCCCCCAGGCCTCCAAAAATATTTAGACGGCTGTGGGTTTCTTAATAGCATCCTCCCAGTGTGGCGATGAATGCTGTGCTCAGTAAATCGGCTTTTGATTTGTAACATCAAAGCATAAACAAAAGTGCGGCACGAGGAGTGCCACACGATGGCGTGCGTGAGAACACAAATATTCATGGTGGGATGGAAGGGGCGCGCTGCAGTACTTCGTGCGAAAGCACTATAAACCTCAGCCACCCGAGTTAGATTCCCATCGGTGGTGAGTGATATCTGAACTGGTCTTGTATCCCCCCCACCGCATCATCCTCCACAAACTAAACCCATTCACTGACCAGCATGGTGAAGTATGGTAAGATAACTCCCATGACCGAAATAGTGTGGAGAGGCCTTTATCCAGCAGTGCATTTACAAAGAGCTGCCCTTTATTTATCACTGTAAATAGTAAGGCATTTTTAAGGCTATCTGCGAAAGCAGGTTTTTTTAATCATTGCCAAAAGCAGTCAGTTAATGTATCACCTTCAAGTGAGGTTTATAATTAAGAGTGGCTTACTCCATATCTGAAATTGCAGTCACCTGTTAAAGGTGCAGACTGCTGTGACAGCATGTGGATTGGGCCTTTGATGAACCATTTTCCAGCCGTGAATCCCACACCTGTGAACCTACGGGTGGAATAAAACATGTGGTTAGCTGCATTGCCCGTGGTGCACAAGCACAGATACCAAAAAACTACAAAATTCGTCAACAACACTGGCCTTGAAAGGACAAATATAGGAGTGACTTTTCGGGTAATGGCCCTTCTTCATGTGCTATGAAAAAGGGCCATTCCCCAAAACGTTACCTGTTTCCATTTTAAGCAGTATAATTGACGTGTTTTTTTTTGCTATGTGTAAAATACGTGCAAAAACAAGTGAATGCGTGTTTTGCCTGTTAATGCGTGGCGTGGTTGTGCCGAGCTGGGTGCATGTTCTTTATTTTCACGTGAAACCAAATTGTCTGCCAAGCACCTTTGCTTGCCAGCTGGTACCACTGCCTTTGCAAATGTCATCGACTCATTCTTGCCCTGTCCTTACAAATTATACAATTGAAGTCCTGGGATGGAATGCACATTATACATTTACATGATTAATTTGAATGATTAAATGTGGTTAAACAGGCAAACTTTCAACTCAGAAGGGCTTCTACGGCCGTGTGGAAGCCACTGGAGCTAAGCAATTAATAATTTAGATTGAAAACTCTTTTCTTGAGAACTGATTTTTTGTGTTTAGTTGTCCTTACCCCGCACCTCCGATCAGCACGGTTTGTTACGTACGGTGCGATAAAAGTTCAACATACATCTCGCCTTATTTTATCCTTGTATTTTTTTACACGTTCAAATGATGATACGAATATCGGGTATAATATTGTAGGATTTTTTTATGAACAGGCATATATTGTACGCTCGTGGTAGTGCCTGCTCCCAGCCAGCCTAGCAGCGTTCCGGCACATTGCTGATGTAATTAACCTAACAAACACAAACAAATAGTGCATGCGTTAGAGGCGCTTTGGATGAATTTACGGATTCGTGACTTCCTTTCACATTCCTACGGCGCTAAGACACTGACGGAAGCTTCGAGAGATTAGAGCACACAAACTGAGGAGTGTACGCAATTTGCATCTCGGGTTGTCAAGAGGGAGAGCCTCGTCATTAATCTCAAGCTTGACCTACGCCTGGTCCCATGCCTCAACTCTAATGAAAACTGAACTGCTGGCCTAAAAAAAATAACCACAAAGACAAAGATCCCCCGTATAGCCTTAACATACCTTGGGGCAAGTGCTGTTCACAAGTACATATGAAGGCCGGTATGGCACACGAGGGGGTAAGTGGCCAGCACTACGCAAGGCTGGCTTTATCTCCCGAGTGGTGACGTTTACACATTTGAGGCTGAAGGCCCAGGACCGTTTCAGATAATCGTCACTGGCGTTGGCTGTGAGAAGGAATCAAACGCAGGTCGCTGTGTTCGTAGTACAGCGCGTTAGTCGCTAACCGATAGCCTATCGCTTCCCACAAAAACACTACACACGTACAGAGAAAGATCCCTTGTTTTAGCCTTAACAGTCTGTTGGGGCAAGTGCTGTTAGCGAGTACCAATGAAGGCCAGAATGGCACACGAGAGGGTGGGTGGCCATCACCACGCCCGACCACTTTTGTCTCCCTAGTGACGATGTTTACACACCGCACCAGGTACTCATTTGAGACTGAACCGACCTTGGGGAGGCCCAGGACCGGTTTATATGATCGTCACTGGTGTTGGCCGTGAGCGGGAATCAAACCCGGGACGCTGGGTTCGTAGCGCAACGCGCTAACCGCTACACGACCGCTCCGCCCAAGATACATTTACACTTACACGAGTCTTGGAAATGTAAATTTCCCAGCGCAGATGTAGGATTTATTAATTTGAATTAAGTCAATAGAACAGCCAACTGCGACAATGGACCCAAAGGCAGGAGAGCCTAATATAACAAAGCCAGTGATAAAATGTGCTTTTAGGTGTTGAAAGATTTTTAAAAACACATTCACCATATAGTATTATAATCCATAATATCATCCAATATATTATTGGTTCTTTCGGTAAAGTCACGTTGAAAGGAAACAATCAGGTGATGACTGTTTGTGTTACAGTCGAAACGTCGTAAGAATTGTATTGTTTTATATATATTTTATTATTTTATTGTTTCCCTTCAACGTGACTTTACCGAAAGAACCAAGAATATGAATCACTGCAGTGACGAAAGCTTTAAATCAAAATCATCCAATATACTTTAATAATGTGCATGTACAGCCTGTATCAATCTACTGCTGAGCAGGTCCTGGAGGTTATTTGACCGTTTAACACGTCGGCTTTCACGACCAATATCCACAATAGAGGGGGTTTTTTGGGGTTAGATCGCGTAAATATATACATGTCGTTAACCATCCCCCCCCCCCACGTGGCGTCACCACATCGACGCCTCTATATAAGGGACGAAACAGGTGGATTTATCCACTAATCTGGCTGTCGCCTGATGAAGCTAGTTGTAATTACTGGCGAAACGTCGTACTCAGAATGTAAGTGTTGTGGCTTGGCTCTCCAACACACCGGTGTGCTGTACTAGTGACGAATCGGCACGTCCTGTTTACGTGACAACCCTTACGAGTTGGCTGCGTCGGGTGGTGGCGGGTTTTAACGACACATAATTATATATTTACGCGATCTAACCCGAACAAAACTCAATTATATATGACCGTACCTCGATACGTTGGTCGGTGTGGGTTGGTGATGACAGGGAGCATCGACATGGAAGCACAGAAGTACAATACAACAATATTTTTGTGCTCTTCTGCCTTCTGCTCCATCACAACGTAAGTTTGAAACCTTTAGTGCGTGGTATGCATCGTAGTCACCCATCCGAGCACTTTCCGGGCCCCAAACACCAATCGAGACAGCAGCGCTACAAAAAGTATGAGCGACATTCGTCGTAACCTGTCCATGCGAAGTGGTGTACCGTGGCCAAGAGCCTCGTCATCCACGTCTTAAAGGGCTGCCTACGAGCAGCTTTGGATCTTCGTGATGTTGGCGCGTCTGATTTTGTAATGCGTGGCTAATCTATGGCCCTTACCATTGTATTGTAGAATAGAGAGGTGCTGCCCTCCAAGTTTGCTCGCTCACAAATTTCGATTTAAAGCTTTCGTGACTGCAGGGATTCCTATTCTTGGTTCTTTCGGTAAAAGTCACGTAGAAGGGAAATTATAAAATGCTAAAAATGTAAAACAAAATTCTCACGACGTTTCGATTGCAACACAAGCAATCATCATCAGGTGTGAAACCCACAGCAAGAAGCTATGTGGAACCCCTCCCCCCCCCCCCCCCCCCCCCCCGTAGAGGC